AAAAAAAAATAGCACAAAATAAGGAGGGGGAGAATACAATGTCAGTGGTGGAGAGATACAGGTGCTGGGTGGGGGAGAACCAAGGTGACACACCTGCAGAGGGAAACCCTGTGCTGAGAAAACATTGAAAAGGATGTAAATGAGAAAACCTCACTAAAAAACTGAAGAAAAAAAAAAATAGTAGAGTGTCTGAGTTGATTAACTTCAATAATCTCGACTCTCATAGCAGTTACTCAATTCTGAAACCTAATAGGTCTGTATACCCAGTATTTTGACCATTTGAAAGAGAATGCATTAATTATGTGTAGCTTTACTTTTCCTTCTAGTAACTATATATGCTTTAGTTTCAATCTAGCATATTTTGAATCATTTTATTATAGCTGAAAAGATAGGCTGTAAAACCTGTGGCTTCATTATTAAATAACCTGAACATTTCCCCAAATTTCCAAATTTACTTTGACCTGCAACTTAGTAGCTTTCTAGCTATATTTTATACTGAGTTTTAAATACATTGCAGGTGTAACTTTTACTTAAAGAAGACTCCTTCCCAAGATCTTATTTGAAACAGTTCCTAAGCCCCTCCCCATCCCAACTGCAACTTTACCAGTTTTCGTATTCACTCCTTTCCTCCTTCACCCTGGGGAAGCAGGGAAGAAATGTGCAACTGACTCACCCTGTAGAGCTTCCATGGTGGGTGCCACTGGGGTTTCGGCATGGTGGGGGCTTTTTTGGCCATCAGTGTAGAGTTCTTGGTGTTGCCACCCTCCACAACCTAGCAGGAGGACAGATGGCATTATGGTGAGGACAGAAAACTAAGGTTTCATGTGACCAGCTATTTCCTTCCTTACAGATAAAGTCAAAGACTTTTAGTCAAACTGTATTTTACTTGATAACTTTAAGAAGCAGTAAACTCAGAGGTAGAATTTTAAGGTTAAGGACCCACACCATTGTGCATGGGTTAAAAACCCAGTTCTGCCAATTACTCAGATTGACCTTGGGCAAAAATTATGTAACCTCTGTCCCTCACTTGTAAAATGGAAAAAACAATGCCTAATTCATAGCTGAGAGCAATAAACGTTCCATGTTAGCTCTGATTGCTTAGTTAGGCCAGAAGTGGATTAATGTCGATGCTTCTCACTGTTGTATTTTAACATTACTGATTTAATATCGCAAAGAGACTGAGAGTTACATCTATTTATTTGATCCCAAACTACACATACACTATTTTAAAGGTTACACTGGCTGAACCATCATCAGCAGATAACATCTATCCATTCATTCAAAAAATATTTATGACCAAAGAGGTCCTGTCCCAAGAAGCTTACAGTAAATCTCTCTGAAGGAGCAGAAAATCTGGGCAGAGACCTGAGACTAGAGGGTAACGGAGGAAACGCAGAACTGCATACCCATTCACATCTCATAATAAACTGAGGCATTAAATCTTGCACTACTTCAAGAGCAGCATAATACACTACTTTCAGTTATTCTTTCTGTAACTACTGTTACACTAGTAGCTACCAATACAGCTATAAGTCATATAAACGCATTTTTAAATGCTCATTTACAAGACACTAGTTGGGTACCTCAAGAACATTACTACACTAATAGCAGTCAACTCTATATAAACCAATTGAGTATTCAAAGATGTTCCTACCTAACACCCACTAATATAGGATTTCAGGTTTCAGACTAGTCCTTATGCTTTTAATAATGGATAATAAACAACACTATAACGTTACTGTCATCAAAATAAACATAATGTACAATGTACAAACGGGGACACAACTACAAAATTTTAAATCTTAAAAAGCATGTCAATTCATTAGCAACTTATACATCAGGTTATTACATACTAACAATGAGCTAAGGCTACTTACTTGAACAGTTCCCAAAAAAAAGCTCATCATTTAATATTTAAATAAATTAAAACTTGGTATGAAGAGAAATAAGGAAACCTGATCCAAAGCTAGAACTCAGGCCTGCCTGGCCAGACACCTACCGCAGTCATGCCTGCAGGCTGCGCGCGGTCGGCGGCCCCGGGATGTCGGTATTCACCTCCAGCAGGTGCGCTGCGGTTTGCATCCACCCTGCAGAAGAGAATCCACACAGTTTTAAGTACCTGATGCCTCTAAGTCGCCTGTTCTGCAGTATATATGATAAAAATTTTTCTAAGCGTGGGCCAATGAAAATATCGTGTGATATGTAAAATCATAAAAAGTGAACTATACTTCCACAATGCTTACAATTAGAAGTGCATTTCATACCTGGCCTGGTTAGCAGGCAATGCCACAGCTAAGGACTGTGCAGCTGATTCACTTGGCATTCTTTGGATCTTAGTATCTGCTGTCAAAGCAACCCCTGTTATAATAAAAAGTCAATTCCTATTAGTATAAGCAATCTTCAGTTTCATTCACAGGCACTTAAAGCGAAATACTGGAAGAAAACATACCAAAATGATAATAGTGATCATCTCCAGGAAGTTACACCACAAAAACCTTGATTAAATTTTCCACGGTGTTTGTAATTTCTAAATTTTATAGTAAACATAGCTGAATAACACTTAACATATCTGATGTAATCAGAGTTTGGTATTAAAATGTTGCAAGATAATAAAATTAGAATTCTCTAAACTTAAAATTTCCATTATCTTGGGATATTATCTTCAGATATCGAACTTAAGCAGCACCCCAAATACTAACAGAATGTTTCCAAGAGCAAACATAAATGACTACAACAAAAAGCAGACATGGCTGTACTTTTAATACAGCAAATCCTGTCTTCTAAAATTATCAGAACCTACAAATATTAAGTGTCTGTCCTGTATCCTGTTATAATGGCACCTCATTTGTGTACTAATTTCCCTAAATTTACATACACATACCAGGAGAGATTTCTGTCCTGTTTTTGTATTAATGCTTCTATCACTTTTATAAGTTGTCCATCCAACTGCAATATATAAGCTTGCCTTAGCCTGTGGCAATCTTATTTAATAAATTTCTAACACAGTGCCTGAAAAAGTACAGTTATTATGAAAGTCTGCTAATTAATGCAGGTGACATTGAGTATTAATTTTCATATAAAAAGTGATGCCTAGCTATTGAGTTTAGACTGTGTTTAACAGGCAACGGGAATCATATTATTGGCTAATTAACGGACATATAAGTGACAATGAGACAGTTTCAATGTCCGACAACTTACTTACCTGGACCTGGTGGGTAAGGATGTGTACCTGTCACCAGATATTCGACTTCTTGTCCTTTGGGGAAAAACGATAGAAAAAAATTGATCAATGACAACTACATGTATTGCCTTTTTTAATGAATAAATAATATTGCCAACTGGGTTTTTCAAATTTTACCACCTAAACCCAAGCTTCAGAAAATGGGTTCTTTCTTTCTTTCTTTCTTTGACTTGAGCCAAAACATGGGTTTTGTTTTGACTTTTAACAGACATGTACACACCGGTCCTTGAAGATTTGCTGAAATGATGTCAAAAAACCTCCATTTGCTACACAGTACTGGCAACCCATAAACCAACCCACTTTGGTGTTTCTCTCAAGCAAGTGATTTCCCTGTGAAATCCTGGATTATCTAGCATTTCTAAACCTGGTAAAATCTTTCTGAATTACAGTTAAAACAGATGACATAGTGCCCCTACAATTTAGGAGTTTCTCTTTTAATTCCCACTTTGACATTCTCCGTCTCCTAAGAATGCCTGCCATCATTATACCATCACTTCGTTTCCCATAAGAACACAATCTATCAGTTACCCGAGCCCTTCTCCCAAGAAGCAATCAGGACTTCCACTGCAGTCACGCACAGCTCGTCAACAGGCATGGCCCTAACTAGTCCTTCCAGGAAGCACACAATCGACCTTTTCTGGTTTTGAAGTTCCCTGGGAGTCCTGCCATTTCACACTCACCTTGACTGGCAGGGTACTGCTTGTGGCCGTAGGGATCCGAGGCATTCTGAGGGCCCTTGTCCTTAAAATTCTCTTTCAACGTCGGCATGTGCAACACAGGGCCATACTCATTGCGCAGCTTGATAGCCATTTTCCGCTTGTGACTATTTAGAAATCATAAGCATTAAGAATGTAAAAACATTGGCCACTATAAATATAATCACAGGTAGCCAAGAAGAAAATATTTAAACAGTATTTTAAAAAGCCGAAAACTTCCGAGTGCCTCTCCACACTTAATTCCCTATCCACTCCATGACATTTATTAAGTCTAAGCAGTATTTTCCTAAGTTAGCTAACAAATATAAAATCCCTCATGGTGAATTGCCAAGAGTCTAAAAGCCTTAAATATATTTAGAAATTAGTGTCTTTAAAAATACCCCAAAGTCAATATACTTTCTTTCAAATGCCTCAATACAAAAACAGAGTAAAAGCTTCTATAGCAACTTCTAATGGATGTTTCTAAGATTACAATGAGTCAAAGTACTTAATAAGTTCATTACCTTAAAAAGGAAATGCACTTGTACTAATTTGGAGAAGAGCCCAATTTGCAAATCAAATATAAATGCTTGTGTGAGGAATTAAGATTTTCAAAGAAGAGTAAAAGACAAAGAAAAACACTGCATATAACGCAACCCCAGATTGATGCTAGAGATGTAAAATCGAAAATATGCTACCACTCAAAAATCTTCCACATACTAACGAGAAAAGATGGGAGTACAGACACTGGCCAGGTACAATTTCAGCTCAGCAAGGCTCTGAGAGCAGCGGGAAGCTGAAAGCACATACAAAGTGGTTGATTATAAAGTGTAATACCAGAAGGGGACTGTCCTAATTACTGGGCATTTGTAAATTGTAACTAATTAATAGGGTTTTTTACAGTAAAAGATAAGGCCAAAAAAAAAGGGTTAAGTCAGCTTAAATTACACCAAAACACTACTCATTAATGACCAAATATCCTATGAGTGCTAATATTATTACTCAATACTCTTTAAAGGTCCGCCTCTTCCTGCTCTCTTGCCCCCCAATACTGGAAGTTTAAATATTGTAGAAATAGAAATTATACTAACCTATCTTCATCCAAAGGCACAGGTTTTCCATTATCAGCTACAAACATGTCATGGGTCCTCTTCAAAGACCTGAACACAAGCGTGTGCACAGAATGTTTCTGTACCTCCTAGAAAGAAAGAATGTAATCACACATCCAGCTACACTTTACACGTATGACCTACAATGAAATCACTTACATGCTTCAGTGTCTAAATACCTAAAATGCTTTATTTACATCATTCACTATACAGTTATTTGCAGCAAGCTATATTGTCAAGTTCAGAGAACTTCAGAACTCCTCTTCAGAGAAGAGGAGGAAATTCTTCTTTAATCAATCGAGTAATACCTGAGGTTACTGATTTATTTAATAAATTTTACTGAGCTCCCTACTCTTTGTCTAGCAGGCATTGTATTAGAAATTAACAACAAAATGGTGAAAAAGCAGTCTCCTGTACTCGACAGGAAATAGATATCTAAATAAGTACACATTCTATTATGTATTAGGAAGGAAACAAACAAGAGATTGAGACAGAGTAGAGCTAAGGTTATGAAAGATCTGTGAGGAGATATTTAAGGCAGAATGGGAGAAAAACTTGCACAGAATGGAGATCTGAAGAGAGGCATGAACGACCCAGGCAAGGGTTAAGCCTGGTATGGAAGGTATTCAGTAACTGAAATAATGTCAGAAGCTGCAGTACAGTTGTGTATATTTGGTGAGAAAGGATTGGGGTGCAAGACGAGGTTGTAGAGCTGGGTAAGATCCAGCTCAATGAGGTTTTCAGGTCACCACAACAGTGTACTTTTTTCCGCAGGAGCAACGTAGAGTCAGTATAAGGCTCAAGAAAGGCATGACAAACTTACATTTTACATAGATCAGTGGGGGGCACCAATAGAGGCAAAAGCTGATGTTGTTGTGAACTAAGATGATGGCAGAATTTGGAGAAAAATCAAGGATAAAAAGGGCAGGTTTGCTAATAGAAGGGTTGCTCAAGTAGGGAAAGAGGCAAATATTCAAGAACGCAGGTTTTCCTGGGGCCGACGTGAAGAGAACAAATCAGGACGAGAAGATCGCCAGCCGTTCACTTACACGGAATCACTTACACGGCCAGGCAGGCGGCGAGAACCAGAGGTCCAACTTCGGCAGAAGCCTCGCCTCGGACACTGCCCGGCTCCCAAGTGTCAAATGAAGACTGGAGGAATTATCCCAGGCTTCAGAGAAAAGAGCCTCCGTCCTCGAAATGAGGAGAGGCAAAGCCTCCACCGGGCGCTCTCATCCGGCCTCCCCCGGTCCCTGAAATCTTTACGAAGGGTCTATCGGCCTCGGCCAAGAGCCTCCCCTCGCAGCCTGTACGCCCCCCACAAACGCCATCACCCTCGATCGCTTCACCCGCGGTCAAACAATGCAGAAGCAAAAGACTCCTAGGCACTTTCAAAGTGTCACTTTACCTCGACCATGATGCGGCCGTGTATTCCGCTGCTCCAGCAGGGAAGCTACACTGAGCACCAGCGCAGAAACCGCCGCCACAACTGTGCAGCCCCTTCCGGAATCGGCGCCCTGGCGCAGGATGTGACGCACTTCTGCGCACGCGCGCTGGTCGCCAGCGAGCCGCTTGCGCTCGAAGGGCGGGCCTTCCTCCTGCTCCGCCTCCGAGGCGGAGTCTCAGAGCGGAGGGGCGGAGCTTGTGGAAGCGCGTGGCTGGAATGGTGCATATTCTTATAATCGCGTTTAACCGGGGCGTGAAGGATTTGGTTTCCGGTTGCGTTGTTTTGCTGTGTTTGCGGAAACTTAATGGTTTTTCTTCAGAGGACCTACGAAATCAGTTCTTGGGAGGGGCTGGAGAGAGCGATCCATGTTAGTGCGAAGGCTCCTCCAAAGGTTTTTTTTTTTTTTTTTTTTTTGGATGAGGGGAGGATCCCCTCCGCGATTTTTGACGTGCGGTTCCACTTCTTAGCCTTAGCTCCTGAAAACAATTGCACGTACACGATCCAGCAAACTGTTGGTGAGTGATTGTTTAAATTTGAGAAGTTTTGCAAAAGAATTTTGTTTCAACTGCATATTGATAAAAACCCAGATTTCTTTTCGCTATATAAATTTAAAAAGAAAAATCTCTCCAAACTACATAACTAGGCTGTTTGGAGTTATCTGCTAGTTAATGCCAGGGCACAGCTTTTCAAAACTGGTGGAAGAGGACACAACTGGACACTTAAGCTTTTTTTTTTTTTTAATGTACATCCTGTTGCCATACTGTTGGTATTTTGTTCTGACTTCTGCCCAGGTAAAATCTGCAGTTTACCATCAATGCTGTCCACTTGTTTATCTAAGTGTGAAGAACAATCGATGATGCTGAATATTGGCAAACTTGAGTAGTCAGGTGTTTCACTGACTCTGCTTCCTCCTTAACCCTAATCAGGTCTACTAATCCTGTCCCTATTGCATATATTGAGAGGGTATTTAAAAATCACAAAAATATAGAAACATTAAAAAAAGAGTACAGCAATGCATATTGGTCATCTTATTAGAAACTCAATAACATTAAGGCCATGTTCCTATTGGAAAGACAATCATCTGAATCAGTTTGACTTTGACCAAAGAACAATGGCCACTGGTGGTAGGCCCGCAAGGAAATACCCTAGTTATAAAATATACACTTGATAAAGTAAATCATATTAGAGTTTACTTACAGGTAGTAATAACTAAGCAAAAGAACATGACTTTTAAATGGCAGAACTATAGAGATGTAAAGATTCTCTCTGTGACAATGTAATAGCTATCTAATTAGATCGATTAACTTGTTAGATAGTTAACCATAATGGGTAATTTTTATAACCCATACTCATGAAAAAATGTTGAATGTCAGTTACTACAAGAGAAATGCAAATCTAAACAATGAGGTGTGAACTCACCATTGTGAGAATGACCAACATCAAAAGACTTGGAAGTAAATGTTGTCAAGCATGTAGAGAAAAAGGAACCCTATCCGCTGTCAGAATGTATCGTGTGCAGCCTTTTATGGAAAAAGTATGGAGATTCCTTAAAAACCTAAAAATGGGAATATCATATGATCCAGCAATGCCAGTGTTCTGGGTATATATCAGTTATTTACCCTCCCCTCTCTCCTCAATGGAAACACTGGTAGGAAAGATTTAGGACTCATGTTTTTAACAGCAATGTTACAATTATCAAGTTGTGAAACCAACCTACATGTCCACTGTAGCCAACTAGATAAAGAAACTGCAGAATATAAACTCAGTGGACTACTATTCAGCTCTTAAGAATGATAAGTAGCATCTTTCAGACCAAATGGAGGGATCTTGAGGTGATTATGCTAACTGAAATAAGTCAGACAATAAAAGACAGTTACAGATGGTCTCACTCTTTTCTGGAATTTAAGCAACCAAAACTACAAAAACTGAGGGGCACAGCAAGAATAATTCTTGTCTTTTAAAAATAGGTTGGCTATCTGAGGGATTTGGGAGGGGGCGGAGGAGGAGACAGGGGAGGAAGAGGACAGCATAATGGCCGCGGAGTGTTGGTGGAGAGTGAGCGAAGATGTGCTCACGAGGGAACATGTGCTCCGGACATTGTAAAGTTATGTAACTAACTGACAAAATGAAAAGTCCTTCCCAATTACCCTGACAGTCCGGTTAAGCCTGGTATGGAAGGTATTCAGTAACTG